ACCGCTGTCTCCCAGGCTGCTGCTGGGTGAGGACACGGCCTCGTCCTGCGTCGTTCAGCATGTGCGTTTCCTTTACAGCCGTCAAGGACAACAGGCACACAGAGGACAACCTGGCAGCGGCTGCGGCGCCCAAGAAAGTGGTCCCTCCAGGCTCCCTGCTGGGTGGCAAGCAGCCTTCACCCCGAAGCCTCCTTCCAAAGAAGTCTCCTTTTGTGAACGTGGCGGGAGCCAAGGCGGCCATCAGGAAGGTGCCCCCGGGCTTCAAGGGCACCATGCCCAGGAGGCCGTGGCTCTCGACCACCCCGTCGGGTGCAGCGTCCACTGCCAAGCAAGCCAGGCTGGTGCCTGGCACCGCAGCGTCCGCCTCCAGAACGCTGCCTGGCTCCGCTGCCGTGGGAGCTGCCAGGAAACCCATGGCGACTTCTGTGCCCTTGGCCTCCCCAGCCCCGGGTCGCCTGGGGCCCTCGAGCCCTGCCCCGTCACAGCCAAATTCTCAGATCCGGCAAAATATCCGGCGCTCGCTGAAGGAGATCCTGTGGAAGAGGTGAGTGGCCTGCCTGGCGTCCCGCCGCGCGGGCTGAGCGTGCGGGTGCCGTGCTTCACACGCATCCTTCATCCCTCCAGAGTCAGTGACAGCGATGATTTGATCATGACGGAGAGTGAGGTGGGGAGGGTGGCCCTCCGCATCGAGAAGGAGCTGTTCAACCTGTTCCGTGTCACCGACAACCGGTACAAGAGCAAGTATCGCAGCCTCATGTTCAACCTCAAGGACCCCAAGAACCAGGTGTGTGCCGTCTGTTCGCCGCTGTCTTCTGCGAGTGTTATATTGCTAAGGGAAACAGCATTCTGAACCACTCTTATCCTTCCGTGGAAGCGGAAAGGTTCCTTTGTCCCCTCTCGCACTTGCCCTAGGCCGCTGGTAGACGCGTGTTCGCCCACCCTTCCCTGCCTTAACTGGAGGCCTGGGGGTCTCACTGGCTCCCTGAAGTCCACCCTTATTCCAGACCCATTTCTTCTAAACATGGCCGTGCCATCACGTTCTCGTCCAGTCATCAGCTCTGGAACAAAGTTCAAGTTCTTTACCCCAGTCAGTATGTGGGGCTCCCCACCTTGGGGCAGCTCCAGATGGCCCTTTCTGCCTCAGTGCCATTCCCAGCAGCAGGGCGAGTCTGGCCCTCCAGGCTTCCTCAGGGCGGTCATGACCCCCGCAGCGCTCGCTGTCCAGACACGTGCCGTCACACCTGGCTGTGGGGCGCCACTCACAGCAGCCGCGCGTGGGCCGTGCTGTTCCTGCAGCCTCCAGATGGCTTGGCCGCTCACCTGTTGAGTGCCGGGGCCCATGCCACCCTGCTTCCGATGAGCCCCATGGATGGGCACGGTCCCGGGGGGCTCTGACTGTGCACGTCGCCGTGTGCACCCCCGGCGAAGGAGGTCTCTTCCTGCCGCTGTTGCTGACACGGCCCCCGGAGCCGATTCGTGTTCTCTCTGGAGGCCTTTTTATAGTGGGTGCAGTGCTGTCTGGACACCCCTGCTCCATGGGGCGGCCCAGGGGGACTCCCGTGGGCTGCTGGGGACTGGGTGTCACGAGGCCCCTGCTGCCCCCATCCGAGGCTTCGGTCTCCGTCCTGCCGTCCCCCAGCCTCTGGGCAGGGACTTGCCCACTGCCCTGTTCTGTCCAGACCCTCCTTAGGGCCTTAGATACAGTCACTCAGATGCTTTGAACCCCTGAGCAAAGCTGCTTGTTCACAGGGACTTTTCCATCGTGTTTTGCGTGAAGAAATCTCTCTGGCAAAACTCGTGAGGATGAAGCCAGAAGAACTCGTGTCTAAGGAGCTGTCCGTGTGGAAGGAGCGGCCCACGAGACCTGTGAGTCCGGCGCCTGTGGCCACGGCGGCTCCAGCGGGGGGCCTGGGCTATTGGCGGGGTACCCGTGGCAGAGGCATGAGGCTGTTGGTCCTCTTCCCCTTAGGTGATGGAGCCCAGGGCTAAGTTTCTTAACGAAAGCAGGAAGACAGCCGTCAGGCAGGAAGCCGTTCCCGACATGGAAGATTCTCCACCAGTGTCGGACTCGGATGTAAGCCCTTGGGGTCCGCTGTCGGCGGGGGTGGGTGAATTCTCGGGCCAGGTGCATGCGGCCGTGCTGTCCTGCACTTGGCCTTAGCGGTCCTCCTGCGGGGGGCGCGTCGCGGGGTGTCTGCACGCGTGCCCTTGGTGGGAAGAGGTGGCCCAGTCGGTGCGTATCCGCTGCCTTTCAGGAGCAGGAGTCGGTCCGCGCCGTGCCCGAGAGCAGCGCCGCGCCCCTGCTGGACGTCTTCAGCAGCATGCTGAAGGACACGACCAGCCAGCACCGCGCGCACCTCTTCGACCTGAACTGTAAGATCTGCACAGGTGAGCGAGGCCGGGGCGCCGCCTTAGGAGCGAGTCGCCGGCCCTCCTCCCACGGCTGTTGGCCCCACGCCACACTCTGGAGGGCCGGCTCGGGGGGGCCGGCTCGGTCTCTGGGGTCCGGAGTCAGCTCTGCACTCGAGTTGCTGTTTATTCTCGCCTGTGGACAGGCTGTGCGTCCACATCAGCTCCCTCACGGAGGCCTCCCTCACATCCTCCAGGTCAGGTGCCGTCGTCGGAAGACGAACCAGCTCCGAAAAGACAGAAGCTGGCGGCTTCTAAGAAGGAGGAGTCGAAACCCAAGCACGACAGCCCGCCCTCTGAGCCAGCTGTCAGCTCACCTGATGAGGTGGTGCCAGAAACTGTGCCCGAAAACGCCTCTGAGCCGGACCCGGGGGGCGCCTCCGAAGCACCCTTGGAGAGGAAGTGCCCCCCGGGCCCCCCAGGAGACAGCCACCCCGAGCCCTCCACCCTGGAAGGGCCCTCAGGCCTGGCCTCCTGTGGGGGCGGGGTGCTCACCACAGTCACCATGTCTGGCCGAGACCCCAGGACTGCACAGAGCGGGGCGAGCACAGTCATGACCCCCGCAGCAGCCCACCCGGAGACGACTCCCCTGGCGGAGCCACGACAAGACGTCCCGAAGCCCGCCGTGGCCTCCGTGCTGGTGCCCAAGTCCATACTCGCTAAGCCGTCCTCGTCCCCCGAGCCCAGATACCTCCTGTCGGTCCCGCCATCACCGAGCATCAGGTGCGGTGTCCACGCGTTGTCCAACACAGCTCATGTAGACGAGCAGGAGGGGCGGCTGTGTGGTGGCCGGCTGTACTCCGACACTCTACCAGGACGCCCTAGCGCGTGCGAAGCGCCCGGGGCCAGGGTTGGGGTGCCGGGCACCATTCATGAGCCTAGGTCAGGAAACGGAAACGCGAGTTCACAGCCGTCTGGTTTTGTTGCCCGTTCGGCGTATTTCTCTTTGAGCAGAACGTGTCGATGGCGGCGTGATTGTGGTAGTTAACTTGTAACAGGCAGCTACCGAAACGCAGGGTCTCAGTTTACTGTTGTAAACACGTGATATCTTCACGCTTTGGGATCTCTGTGCAGAGCGCGTGACTTCTCGCTTTGTCTTGCAGCGTCGCAGAGTCACGGTCCCCTCCGGAAGGAGACACGGCCCTCTTTCTGTCTCGGCTGAGTGCCATTTGGAAAGGCTTTATCAACATGCAGAGTGTAGCGAAGTTTGTCACCAAGGCCTATCCTGTCTCCGGATGTTTCGATTACCTCAGCGAGGTTAGAACCGGGGGTGTGTGTGTGCGCACGCACGTGTGTCACTGTAGCTCTGAACCTGTGCCAGCGTCCAGACTGGGATGGTCCCAGCCGCGTGGGTGCGCGGCTCCTCGGAGGCGAGCTGGGGGTCGATGGGGCTGGCGGTGACAACGTGCTGGCCGAGCAGTCTGGCTAGCGGGCCGGCCTTCGGCAGGAGATGGGCATCCCGACTTGCGGGGGGTAGGCTGGGGTTCCCCTTCCCCATGTCCGGCCGGGCGCGATCCCGACTTGCCTAGGTGCGGGGCGACGTGACGCGCTTTTCGTTTTCGTGATCGTGGAAGCAGCACTGGCACTCAGGCCCTGAGCGGGGAGCCGGTCATGTCTGGGGGCCACAGAATCAGCCCCGTACGTACGTGCTTGCAAAGGGTGACACGCATTTGCCAGACATCCTGTGTGACAGAAGGCTGTCACCGTGCCATCTTGAGTTTAGTAACTCCTGATCCTGAATGTTAGGTAACCAAGTAGAGTTCGGTGCAGTTGTTACCTTTTTCTGTGGAACTGTGGTTTTCTTGAATCGTGGGTAGTTTGGCGCCTGGAAGTGACTGTGTCAGTTTCTGAAGGCTGGTTCAACCGGTCACTGATGCAAAGTGCGTTTTGTCCAGGACCTGCCAGACACGATCCACGTTGGCGGAAGGATTGCGCCGAGGACAGTGTGGGACTATGTTGGCAAACTCAAGTCTTCTGTGTCTAAGGTACCTGCTTTCCGTCCAGTGTCTGCGTCCACAGGTGTCTGCTCAGAGTCAGCTTTCACCTCCCTGCTTGGCAGGTTGACACCTGAGATGTCAGCCAACAACTGCTTAGCCGTTTCCAGGTGAACGTTAAGTTTGTAGCTGGACGACGACATGAGCGTGTGCTTAACACAGTGGCGAAGTTTCGCTGCCGACTTGTTACGTGCAGCTCACTGCTAGTGAGAATTCGCACTGTCTCCTGTCCTCTCTGTGTGGAGGGTGGGGCTGGGAGGCGGGCAGACAGCGCTCGAGTGGGGGGCCGCAGTATTTATCAGGGTCACAGAAGGGTGTGGACCCTCTCGTCCAGTTTAGTCCTCTCATTTAGAGGCACAGACGCCCTTCGTAGGTCACTCAGCCAGTGGATCGTGACTGCGGTCGGCACACCAGTGACAGCTTACTCTGCAGCAGATGCTGCCCTACGTGGCACTGCGTGCGTGTCAGCTCGTGGGCGCAGGACCTCCATGCAGCGGGTGCTATTTCGAGAGCACTGGGCCTGCGAATAGAAATTTTTACGAGGTCCCGTGGAAACAGGGTTTGCGTCCTGCAGCCGCTGCTCGAGCCCGCCTCCCCTGCACCCCACTCTTCTAGCTGGACAGCAGGACAGTGGGGAGCAAGTCGGCTGCACGCTGCTCCCCGTCCAGGCTGCTTCGGAGGCTTAGGTGCACCTGAAGGTAGATGCTTTTTCGGAGTGGCCCAGGTCAACGCTGTTCGTCCTCTGTCCCCTGCAGGAGCTGTGTCTGATCCGCTTTCATCCCGCGACCGAGGAGGAGGAGGTGGCCTATATCTCTCTCTACTCCTATTTCAGCAGCCGCGGCCGCTTCGGCGTTGTCGCTAACAACAGCAGGCGTGTCAAGGATCTCTACCTGATACCGCTGGGCGCCGAGGACCCTGTCCCATCCAAGCTCTTGCCCTTCGAGGGACCAGGTAAGCGCTGGCTTTCTAGGTGGTGGTTAGGCTCCTCTGAGCCCACACGTGCCCCTCCCCCAACACTGAGTCCTGCTGCGCGTGTCACGAGGTGGTCATGCCGCCTCACGCCGTGACTGTCCACGAGCAGGAAGTGGGAGTGTGCATGAAGCAACACTAGCGGCTTCCAGGGTGCTGCGGGTAGCGCTGAGAGTACCCTTATTGACGCGAATTGTCACAGAAGACTTTCACGAAGCGAAAAGACCCACAGCGTCCAGCCAGCCTGTCACATTCCTGGCTCTGGACTGTGCTGGTGGCGGGGAGCCTGGAGGAGGGCGGGGAGGAGAGGTGGCCTCCCCTCGGCCCCCCACTCAGCGCCTCCGCTCGGCTGGGCCCTGAGCGCTCAGCTCAGGCGGGCTTCTGCCCCGCTGACGGGAGCGACTCTGGGAGGCGTGGGGGGGGGGCGAGTACTCCCAGGAGCCACCGCTCGAGTCTGCGCCCCAGAGCTTAGCCAGCTCTTCCGTTTTGTGTGTGCTCCTTCCTTGAGACATACTGCCTTCAGAGAGTTCCTTACAGATTCACCCGAAAGAAGATAGATTTGTTACGGGGTTGAGGGTGGTTCCGAGGGGATGTGTGTCTCCTTGGCCCTGAAGTCCCCAGAGGGTCTGTCTTTCCTGGAGAGTGACAGGTCTAACACATGGCGACTGCTCTTTGTAGTGCTGTGTTCTAGGGGTGGTGGCTGACCGCCCTGAGCCATCACGGGTGCCACCTAGACCCTGGCACTTCCATGTCTCGGCCCCGTCGCCAGCCCCTGGCAGGTGTTCCCACCATAGCCACGCTGCAGTCACACCGCACCTGCACTGCTGGGACCCAGCAGGGTGGCCCTCTGCCCACCTGCAGCACGCGCTCGGGCGGTGCCGGGCTCGGCGCACCCCTGCCCGATGGAGTCGCGCTCAGAGGGCTCGGCGGCACCAGTCACTGCCGGGTTAAGTCTCGGCACGGCATGGCGTGGCCCATTGTTTGAACGCCTGATACACTTTAAAGGCTAAATACTTCTCGTGCCCTCCCTCCTGCTCCGGGGGGAAGGAAGTGCCACCTGACGGGCGGCGAGAAGAGCCGTCTGTAGTGGAGGGTCTTGGTAAGTGAGCGGGTGGCCAGCTTCCTGGATGACCATGAAGGGAGACGCCCCGTGTCCCTGAAGCAGAGACGAAGAAGCTGACTTCTGAGACCCGTGCGGAACGCTCGGGTCAGTCACAGAGTAGATGTGGGGGGGTGGCCGCGGGCCCGTGGCTCTGACCACACGGCAGGCTCCTCTCCCCGTGGGGGACATGCGTTAGGCTCTGACCCCCTTTTAAGCAGAATGAAAACACTTCCCTTCTGGCTTGAGGCCCTGTCACTGCTTCTCTGCCGCATCTTGTCTGGCTGCAGGGTCGCCAGCAGGAAGGGGAGGGGCGCGGCTTCCTGACCTGGTTCCCTGCAGCCCTGGGAGACGGCTGCTGGCAGAGGGAGCAGAGGGGCCGCACTAGGTGCCCCTGAGGCGACGTGGACGGGAGGGCGAGGCGGGGACACTCGCCTCCTTCATAACCGTGACGGGTGCTGACCGCCCGCACACACCCGCTAACCGGCCGAGTGGACTCCACTCTGGTGCACCCGCATGCTGAGGCCTGACACTCCCTGAAGGGGACCCCTGAAAGACCACAGATTGTCACCCTCAGCGAGGAGTAACAGCTTTGTTAAAACAGTGAGGGTTTTAGAAACGTGATCAGGGATCTTTTTTGCCCCTAAGTTCTTAGCTTTCTTTTGCGTTTAGGGGCTTCTCGGTCTCAGCCTGTCGGAGCACTGTTTTCTTATCCGATACCATCGGTTCACACACACGTGAATCTCCGTGTATGTTTTGTGCATGTCCGCATCAGCCAAACAGCCTGGCTCCAGGCCAAGTTACCTACCTGACCTGCCTCACGTATTTATAGCGTGACTTGGTGCACTCCAGATACAGTGTCTGCGTGTCCTGGTGTCGTGTGCGTGTGCATGTCACTCGTGTGTGTGTGCATGTCACTCGTGTGTGCACACGTGCCTGGAAGGCTGGGTGGGGATATTTCTCCCTCGTTAGCGTTCCCTGTCCTCACAGAGTAGTCTGCACAGCATTCTCTGCAGGCCCAGACCCAACTTGGGGTGGCGGTGACATCCCTCAGTAGAGCGGCCAGCGGTTTGAACTCATGCGTCCAGCCAGCACTGGCCCCATGGCCTGAGAGGAGCACCTCTGACCCCGCGGTAGCCCTGCAGGACATTGTATTTGCCCCTGTCTCTGAGGGGGGTGACCTATGTACCCACAGTTTTCACTCCTGAGGTCCCACGCCCAGTAAGTGGCCGGGCCAGAGTTTGCCCAAGCTGTGTGGGAGGTGGAGAGGTGGCTGAAGTGGGGGACCGACTCATACACACGCAGCCTGCACCCCGAGCTCAGGACCCGGGGGGGCTGGCAGCAGGGGGGCTGGCAGCTCACACTGGGGAAGCAGGTGAAGACGACGCCGACGGTGCCGGATCCGTCTTTGGCCTGGTGAAACCTGCACGGGCGGCTCTTGGCCGCGCCTCGTTCTCGTCTCGGCCACTCTCTGGACGGTGAGCCTGGGGAGCTTGCACACGACCCTCCTCAGCCACCTGCCCTGTGCCCGTAAGCCTTCCAGGAGTCAGCCGGAGTGCCGTTTCTCTGAGAACGTTTTTGTGACTTATCCGCAGAAATGCCAGGGCATCTCGTGTCACCCAGTGGCATTTTAATAACTGGCAGTGTCGCTTCAGAGGACGGCCTCCAGGAAGCCCGGGTCCCCCGGTCCAGCGAGCGTCTTCCACTGCACTGTCGGCTCAGCTCGCTGCTGCTGACACTGATGGGCTCAGCACTGGGGACCTGGGCTCGGCCGCTCTCACGTCCTAGGGCTTCCCTCGTAGCAGGGAGACCGGTCCGATTGGATGCTCGTCTCCCATGTGACCCCAGCAGGACTGGCCCCAGGCTGGGACCTGTCCCTCCCCAGTGCATGGGCCCATTCTCGGCTGGGTTTCTAGGACGTAGGCACGCAGCCTTCCGAGGGCTTCCAACGCCAGGGCCGTTTCCTCGGCCACTGCGCCCCGTAGCCTCCCCCGGGTGCGCTCCTCCCCCGGCTTTCAGAACGCGCCGTGAAGTTCCGCAGCTTGAAGCGCTGGCAGGTAAGCATTTCTGCAGGCCCCGTGTGCACGGGCGGCCACACGGACGACTCGGGGCGCGTGCGCTGTCCAATGTACCGCTCTT